GATGTATAAAAAATATTTTTTTTATTTTTATTTCTCTATATATAGTAAAGAAACAAACAAAAATTTAAAAAAACTATTTGTTTAATGCATGCCAATAAAGATTGCCATATGATAAAAATTGAATTTTTTAGCGGTACCTATACAGATAGAGATAATATGCATACAATTTGTTCAATTTTTATTACCTTCTGGCATTTACAAGTTTTTAATTGCAAAGAGTCTATCATTGTATCCAAAAGTATAGAAAATATTTCTTTAAATTAATATGCGTATTTTAATATTTAAATTGCAGTTTAAAAAAATTTTTTAGGGTCATGTAGACTTTCACATTGGATCATTTCGTATTTTGGAGTTATTAAAAAAAAAGTATTAACAAATTTTTTCAAACACAACTACTTAAAGAACTATCATAAATATACCGAGTTAATAAAACACTTATGACCGTGTACTATTTTCCAAAATTATTATAAATAAAAGCCTTGTGGTCATTTTCATTTAAAATCAATTAAAATCAAAGAAAAAAGTAAACTATTTAAATAAAACATACCAAAGAGTTCACAATAAAATGTGCAAAAACAATTAAAACTAACGCTCTCATCATAGCAAGCACACGCGACGGCGACGTCAATTTCCACTCGACTGATCGAGACAACGAGATTTGCGCCAGAACTAAGTAATAAAAGTTCGATGATTATACTTATCGACGAGTAGATGTATAAAAATTCATTTGACCATGAATCGTCGTTTACTTTTCTTTTCATGTAATTTATTTTCATGAACATATGTTTTTCTCAGTACTAAAAATAATTGGAAAGAGGAATAAGGATTTTAGTTTGCTGACAAGGTGTTGTTTTAATAATTATTTCACGCAGGTATACTGTACAATATCATAAATTTATTGAGAGATACAAAGAAACATGAGCTATCAAAATCGACTTAATTGATCTGCGTGGCATAATAGAGCGAATTTAGTCGAGGATAGGGATGTCCTTGTTCTCGAAGAAGCAGGTGAGAATGTTGCCTCCCTTTTCACATGTGTCCTTTCCGCCTACAAATAGAAGAATAAACAGACATGAACATGATATAGACACACATTTTTTGGTACATATAGTTAATTACTTTTATATATTTGTATTTTTTCTTCACTTTTTAAGTTTTTTTTTTTTGTAACATTAGTTCAACATATTTAGTTTTCAATCAAAAATTTATGAAATAGTATAAATATTAAAAAAACGTTTGTTTCTTTTCGTATAAAGTTTTTCAGTTTTAATGTTTGATACTTATTAATAATTAATTTAACAAAAACAAAATTTTTTTTTCAATAAAAATTTATAATTTACGTAGTATATAATATATTGGGACAAAAGAACTGTACTCACTGAGATCTTTGCACTTGTCGATAACCTTCTTAACCTTCTCCTGGTCGGCGTTGATTGTTGCTGCCTTCGTACGTACAGCTTCGATGTCGAGGGTACCATCTTCTTTCATCTTTACAAAAAAATTATTGTTTGTTTATTTTATTCATTCATTCATCAAACTTGTTTTTACAAGTTTATTTATGTGTTTCACGAACGATCGATAAAATAGTTTCATGTACATCAATATTTCGAATGACAATTTTTACTTAAAATTTAATTTATTATCTTTACAAGATAGTACTTATTATTTTTACTTACTAATAACAAAAAATTTAAGCAATATTTTTTTAAAAAACAAAATATTTTTTAGTGTTAGAGGGACACGTTTTAACACATTTTTCAAACATTTTTGATTTTATTTCCAGCAATTTTTAAAAACTTTTAATGCATTATTTATACTGGAAACAATAACCCTTCTGCTCTATATTCAAAATTTATTTTAAAATAAATTGTATACTTTTTCTAACTATATTTTCTACATACTATGCGTAGCTACACTTGTAATAATACTCACGACTCCGGATTTCTTTAATAAACACGCAGCGTAGCAGTCAAGCTTGCTGTCACGCTTGATCGGACCACCCTTGCCAATGGCATCGATGACAGCTGAATAAAACATAAAAGAAAAAAACCTTCGACATAGTTCACATTTTGAAGAAATTTTTCGTCATGCTCGTTGAATGATTAATTTAAATATTTATGTATAAAAAAA